TCCCAAATGGGGACTATCAAATGTACACATCATCTAATGCTTTCCCAAATTGGCTTATTCCTGAATGAATGTAAATTTAGCAAATAAACTCATGAATATTTTAAGCAATTACTACCTGTAAAATAGGATGAATTTTAGAATTAGAAATAAAAATTAAAAGGTATGCTACATAAAAACATAATTATCTAGTCATGTTTCAATAAATTTTAATTTCAATGTAAGTGATATCTTTTTTTGGTTTTTCGAGTATAAGTGATATCTTTAACTAGGACTTATTCTTTATACTTTAGAAATGAATGCTATTATTACTATAATAAGGTACATATAAATACTTTGCTTATGTACCTTTTTATCATTTCTAACTGAAAAGTAAAAGAAAATTACCTAAAGTACTTCATAGATTAATTCATTACCAAATTTCCATTACCCTCTATACTCTAGAGGAAAATAAAGAATAAAATGTAGTCCCATTCTTCAGAAGTTTACAATCTAATTTGTTTACAGTATTTAGACTTTTATCTTTGTGGTGTTGGCAATCAAATTTAAGATTTTACATGTGCTAAGCGAGTGCTTTTCTATAAGCAACATCTTGTAGCCTTATTTGGACCTTGAAAAAAAAAAAAACAGGTGTTGGCCGTGAAGTGGTGGCACATACTTTTTATACCAACACTCAGGAGGCAGAGGCAGGTGGATCTCTGTAAGTTTGAGGCCAAATGGATGGAAATAGAAAACACTATCCTGAGTGAGGTAAGCCAGACCCAAAAAGAGGAACATGGATGTACTCACTCATATTTGGTTTCTAGCCATAAATAAAGGACATTGAGCCTATAATTCGCGATCCTAGAGAAGCTAAATGAGAAGGTAAATCCAAAGACAAACATATAAGCATCCTCCTGAATATTACCCTTCATCAGGCGATGAAAGGAGACAGAGACAGAGACCCACATTGGAGCACCGGACAAAATCTCAAGGTCCAAATCAGGAGCAGAAGGAGAGAGAGCAGGAGCAAGGAACTCAGGACCACGAGGGGTGCACCCACACACTGAGACAATGGGGATGTTCTATCGGGAATTCACCAAAGCCAGCTGGCCTGGGTCTGAAAAAGCATGGGATAAAACCGGACTTGCTGAACATAGTGGACAATGAAGACTACTGAGAACTCAAGAACAATGGCAATGGGTTTTTGATCCTACTGCACGTACTGGCTTTGGGGAGCCTAGGCAGTTTGGATGCTCACCTTACTAAACCTGGATGGAGGTGGGCGGTCCTTGGACTTCCCACAGGTCAGGGAACCCTGATTGCTCTTCGAGCTGATGAGCGAGAGGGACTTGATTGGGGGAGGGGGAGGGAAATGGGAGGCGGTGGCGAGGAGGCAGAAATCCTTAATAAATAAATAAATTAAAAACAACAACAACAACAACAAAGAGTGACTAAACAGGTGGCTAGAAAGATGGCTTGGTGCTTAAGAGCATTTGCTGTCCTTGCAGAAGACCTGGGCTTAATTACCAGCATCCACATGTTGACCCGCAACCATCTATAACTCCCAGTCTTAGGCAATCAAATACCTTCTTCTGGCCTCTGTGGACACTTGGTATATATATGGTGCACAGACATACATGCAGGCAAACACCATACACATAAAAGAGTGACTAAAAAGGGCTAGAGTGATGCTTCAGTGGTTAAAAGTGCTTGCTGCTCACTCAGAGGATGGGAGTTCAGAAGACACACAAGAGGTAGGCAGCTCACACTGCCTATAACTCCAGCTCCAGGGATTTTGACACCCTTTTCTGGTCTCCCTGGGCACCTGCAAATATATGTGATGCCCATATTTAAATAAAAAATTTTAGGAAGATTAAAATTAATTTTAGAGTAAATAGTTAAATATACTGATAATGTTATTAGACTTTTTGTATTAAACATTTTTTTAAAGCTAGTAAGACAAGATTTTGGCTTTTGTTTTTGAGATGGATCTCATGTAATACAAGTGGTACTGGCTACATAGCTGAGAATGACCTCTAACTCCTGATGTTCCTACCACTCTGCCTCTCAAGTGCTGGAATTTACTATTTGTATATGTGAGTGAGAGTGTGATTACAAGGGTTCCACAGTGTTCATGTGAAGGTGAAGGCAAACCTTTTAGGGTTTGGTTCTCTATTTCCACTGTGGAATCAGGAGATTGAACTCAGGTCATCAGTCTTGTGTGGCAGGCACTTTATCCATCAAGCCACCTTACTGGCCTCTTCTCTGTGTCTTCTAATACTAATATGTTAGAGAAATAAAGTTTCACTTGTTCAGAAAAAAAAAAGATTTTACATGTGCTAAGCGAGTGCTTTTCTATAAGCAACATCTTGCAGCCTTATTTGGACCTTTAAAAAAAACCAGGTGTTGGCCGTGAAGTGGTGGCACATACTGTTAATACCAACACTCAGGAGGCAGAGGCAGGTGGATCTCTGTAAGTTGGAGGCCAGCCTAGTCTACAAGAACTAGTTCCAGGACAGGCTCCAAAGCTACAGAAAAACCCAGTCTCAAACAAACAAACCCCCAGGTGTTACATTAAAATCAAAAATTTGAACTGCTTCATTAAAAAGAATTTTAAGTTATATCCTGAATTCCCATAGACATACCATATACTCTACAAATTCTCTTTAAAAATAAAAAATTTTAAAAACATCTTAGTTATAGCTAAATGTGGTCACATTCAAATGTAATCCCAGAATTTGAGAGGGAAAAGAGGGAGAATCATGAGTTTGCGGCTGGGATAGGATACATAGGGAGTCAATACTATCCTGAGCTACATAGTGAAAGCCTGGCTTGAAAAATCAAAAGCTAAGTATGCAATTCAGTGGCAGAACATTTGTTTAGCATGCACTAGAGCCTGAGCTTGATTCTTAGAACCGAGAGGAGAAAACAGATTGTCTCAGCTGCTAAAATGCATCAGTTGAACTGCCACAGAGCCTGATTACCTAAGTTCAGTCGCTGGAACCCACATAATGGAAAGAGAAAACTATACAAGTTGTCCTTCGAGAACGCATGCTCACACTGAGCATATGTGCATACACCTACCCACACACACACTAAAATAAATAAAAATAAGTTAAAAGCATTTAAAATAAAGGCAGTAAAAATAATTAAATCCATTTGTTTATATTTTCATTCACTCTCTTCTTTCCCTTCATACTGCCCCTCTTTCTCTTTCTGAGACAGGACCTTCTTATGTAACCCTGGTTGGATTGAACTTGTAATATACACCAGATCAGCCTTGAACTTCCAGTGATCCTCCTGCTTTTGCATCCCAACTGCCAGGATCACAGGTATGTATTACCATGCCTGGATGCTTTTCATTTTTCTAAGTACAAAAAAAGAATACCATGCCTAGATTTTTATCAAATAGCTGTTCCTGCAACTCTTTTACCTTTATGGAAAGTATGTGTGAATTAAAGAATATATAAAAAAATTAAAGTGGATCATTGGACCCAAACGGTACTTAGTGTTGACAATTTTCCCATTAAAGATAATACAACGACCTTTTAATAAAAAACTAATTTGTAGAGAATGAATGTTTAAAAAGTATAGATGTATATTTTTACTCAACTCACTGAGTAAATCAAGTCTTCCTATACTATTACTTACAACAATCTCACTAAAAAATCAATTATTTTTCAAATTGTGTGTGTTTGCATATGCCACAGCATGTATGGAGGTCAGAAGACAACCTGAAGGAGCTGGTTCTCTCCTACGTTGTGGGGTCTGGGATTGAACTCAAGCTGTCAGAATTGGTGGCAGCTGGTAAACCATCTTGCTGGCTTGAGAAATAAGATTTAATGTCCTCTCTGAAGCATAAAGAACATCTAGCTATAATTAGTACATACAAATTGATCACTAGTACTCCCCCCAAATTCTGTGTGGTTCTAAATATTCTCCTAGAAAAATAAGTGTAAGAAAAGGAAGGCATAGAATGCTATACCCCTTTCCCTTTTCTTAATAAAAAAGCAATGCTAAGTGGTAAAATGTTGGGCTAAAAAGGCCAGTCTAATTGGAAAATTTAACAGTCGGAGGGAAGGAGTTGAACAGGAAAGAAAAAGTTGAGGTATGGAACTCTTCATCATCAGAACTTTTTCAATTTTTCAGCATACTTGGATGTAATATTATTCAAACGCTAAAATACAAAACTATAAAGTCTCGGGGTTAAAAGCACTGACTGTTACTGTTCTTCCAGAAGACCTGGGTTCAATTCCTAGCACCCACATGGCAGTTCAAAACTTTTTGTAACTCCAGTTCCAGGGGACCTGATACCCATGGCAAAACACCAATGCATCTAAAAAATAAAACATTAAATAATGTATAGAGGGGCTGGGAATGATTGCTCACACCTTTAATCCCAGGACATAGGAGGCAGAGGCAAATGGATCTCTGTGACTTTGAGCCAGCCTGATCTATAGAGTAAGTTCCAGGACAGCCAGGGCTGTTACACAGAGAAATCCTGTCTTGAAAAACAAAACAAAAAAAAAAAACAAAAAAGAAAGAAAGAAAAACTGTAGAGAGGAAAAATTGAATAATACTTCTTAAAAATTTTAGGTGACCCAGGCTGGCACGATGGCTCAGAGGTTAAGAGCACCAGCTGCTCTTCCAGAGATCCTGATCAATTCCCAGCAACCTCATGGTGGCTCACAACCATCTATAACATGATCTGCTGTCTTCTTTTTGCCTACAAGCAGAACACTGTATACATAAAACCCTCTTTCCCTATCTTTCTCAGGCACTTTGAGATGCCCATAAAAAGTGAGGCATTATTCAATGAATTGAACCTTAGGTGAAAGTCAGAAGACACTTGTTCAAGAACTGACTCTAAGGGGACAGGCACGTTGGCTCTTACCTGTAATCACTGTATTGGGGAGGAAAGTTCATAGCACTAAGTGCCCACTTAAAGAAAACAGAGAAAGCTCACATTGGAGACTTAACAGCCCACCTGAAAGCTCTAGAAAAAAAAGAAGCAGACTCACCTAGGAGGAGTAGAAGACTGGAAATAATCAAACTGAGGGCTGAAATCAACAAAATAGAAACACAGAAAACAATACAAAGAATCAATGAAACAAAAAGCTGGTTCCTGGAGAAAATCAACAAGATTCATAAACCCCTACCCAAACAAATCAAACGGCAGAGAGAGAATTTGCAAATTAATAAGATCAGAAATGAAAAGGGGGACATAACCACAGACACAGAGGAAATTCAGAGAATCATTAGATCTTACTAAAAAAGCCTATATGCCACAAAACTGGAAAATGTAAAGGAAATGGACACTTTTTTAGATAAATACCATATACCAAAGTTAAACCAGGACCATGTGAACAATCTAAATAGACCTGTTAGTCGCGAAGAATTAGAAGAGGTTATCAAAAACCTCCCTACCAAAAGAAGCCCAGGACCAGATGGCTTCAATGCGGAATTCTTTCAGAACTTCCAAGAAGAACTAATACCTATACTCCTTAATGTATTTCATAATATAGAAACAGAAGAGGCATTGCCAAACTCCTTTTATGAAGCTACAGTTGCCCTGATACCAAAACCGCACAAAGACTCAACCAAGAAAGAAAATTATAGACCAATCTCACTCATGGACATCGATGCAAAAATCCTCAACAAAATACTGGTAAACGAATCCAAGAACACATTAGAAAAATTATCCATTATGATCAAGTAGGTTTCAGCCCAGGGATGCAGGGCTGGTTCAACATACGAAAATCTATCAATGTAATCCAGCATATAAATAAACTGAAAGAAAAAAACCATACGATCATTTCATTAGATGCTGAAAAAGCATTTGACAAAATTCAACATCCCTTTATGATGAAAGTATTGGAGAGATTAGGGATACAAGGGTCACACCTAAATATAATAAAAGCTATATACAGCAAGCCGACAGCTAACATTAAATTAAACGGAGAGAAACTTAAAGCCATCCCACTAACCTCAGGAACACGACAAGGTTGTCCACTCTCGCCATACCTCTTCAATATAGTGCTTGAAGTTCTAGCAATAGCAATAAGACAACATAATGGGATCAAGGGGATTCGAATTGGAAAGGAAAAAGTGAAACTTTCGTTATTTGCAGATGATATGATAGTGTATATAAGCGACCAACAAAACTCCACCAAAGAACTTTTACAGCTGATAAACACCTTTAGTAATGTGGCAGGATACAAGATCAACTCCAAAAAATCAGTCGCCCACTTATACACAAAGGATATGGAAGCAGAGAGGGAAATCAGAGAAGCATCACCCTTCACGATAGCCACAAACAGCATAAAATATCTTGGGGTAACTCTAACCAAGGAAGTGAAAGATCTATTTGACAAGAACTTTAAGGAATTGAAGAAAGAAACTGAGGAGTATACCAGAAAATGGAAGGACCTCCGTTGCTCTTGGATTGGGAGGATCAACATAGTAAAAATGGCAATTCTACCAAAGGCAATTTATAGATTCAATGCAATCCCCATCAAGGTCCCATCAAAATTCTTCACAGATCTTGAGAGGACAATAATCAACTTTATATGGAAAAACAAAAAACCCAGGATAGCCAAAACAATCCTATACAATAAAGGATCTTCTGGAGGCATTACCATCCCTGACTTCAAACTCTATTACAGAGCTACAGTAATGAAAACAGTGTGGTACTGGCATAAAAACAGAGAAGTCGACCAATGGAATCGTATAGAAGACCCGGATTTTAACCCACAAACCTATGAACACCTCATTTTTGATAAAGGAGCTAAAAGTATACAATGGAAGAAAGAAAGCATCTTCAACAAATGGTGCTGGCAAAACTGGATGTCAACCTGTAGAAGAATGAAAATAGACCCATATCTTTCACCGTGCACAAAACTCAAGTCCAAATGGATTACAGACCTCAATATCAGCCCGAACACACAGAAAAGGATAGAAGAGAAAGTGGGAAATACCCTAAAACAGATGGGCACAGGAGATCGCTTCCTATGTATAACCCCAGAAGCACAGACATTAAGGGCAATATTGAATAAATGGGACCTACTAAAACTGAGAAGCTTATGTAAAGCAAAGGACACTGCCACTAAGACACAAAGGCAACCTACTGACTGGGAGAAGATCTTCACCAACCCCGCAACAGACAAAGGTCTGATCTCCAAAATATATAGAGAACTCAAGAAACTAGACTTTAAAATGCTAATTAACCCAAATAAAAAATGGGGCACTGATCTGAACAGAGAATTCTCAACAGAAGAAGTTCAAATGGCCAAAAGACACTTAAGGTCAGGCTCAACTTCCTTAGCAATCAGGGAAATGCAAACCAAAACAACTTTGAGATATCATCTTACACCTGTCAGAATGGCTAAAATAAAAAACTCCAATGATAGCCTTTGCTGGAGAGGCTGTGGAGGAAGGGGTACCCTCATCCATTGCTGGTGGGAACGCAATCTTGTGCAACCACTATGGAAGTCAGTGTTTCGTTTTCTCAGGAAATTCGGGATCAACCTACGCCTGGACCCAGCAATACCACTCTTGGGAATATACCCAAGAGATGCTCTATCATATGACAAAAGCATTTGTTCAACTATGTTCATAGCAGTATTATTTGTAATAGCCAGAACCTGGAAACAACCTAGATGCCCTTCAATGGAAGAATGGATGAAGAAAGGATGGAATATCTACACAATAGTGTACTACGCTGCAGTAAAAAACAATGACTTCTCCAATTTTGCATGCAAATGGATGGAAATAGAAAACACTATCCTGAGTGAGGTAACCCAGACCCAAAAAGATGAACATGGGATGTAATCACTCATAATTGGTTTCTAGCCATAAATAAGGGTCATGGAGTCTACAATTGGTGAACCTAAAGAAGCTAAGTAAGAAGGTGAACCCAAGGAAAAACATATAGTTATCCTCTTGGCTATGGGAAGTAGACAAAATTGCCGGGGAGAAAATTGGGATCTTGGGGGTGGGGTGGGATGGGGGTAAGGGGAGATGGGGAGAGAAAAGTTAGAAGGGAAGGAGGGGGGGGCCTTGGGGAAACAGGATGATTGGGATAAAGGAAGGTTGGACAGGGGAGCACGGAACCACAATTCTTAGTTAAGGGAGCCACTTTAGGGTTGGCAAGACACCTGACCCTAGAGGGGCTCCCAGGTGCCCAAGCCGAGGTCCCCAGTTAGTTCCTTGGGCAGTTGAGGATAGGGAACCTGAAATGACCCTTTCCTAGAGCAATACTGACGAATATCTTGCATATCATCATAGAACCTTCATCTGGTGATGGATGGAGATAGAGACAGAGACCCACACAGGAGCACTGGACTGAGCTCCCAAGGTCCCAATGAGGAGCAGAAGGAGGGAGAACATGAGCAAAGAAGTCGGGACCACGAGGGATGCACCCACCCACTGAGACAGTGGAGTTGATCTATTGGGAGCTCACCAAGGCCAGCTGGACTGTGACTGAAAAAGCATGGGATAATCCTGGACTCTCTGAACATGGCGAACAATGAGGGATGATGAGACGCAAAGGACAATGGCATGGGGTTTTGATCCTACGTAATGGGATGGCTTTGTGGGAACCTAGCCAGTTTGGATGTTCACCTTCCTAGATATGGACGGAGGGGGGAGGTCCTAGGTCTTACCACAGGGCAGAAAACCCTGACTGCTCTTTGGACTGGAGAGGGAGGGGGAAAGGAGTGGGGGGAGGGGGAGAATGGTGGGAGTAGGGGGCATAGGTTGGGAGGAGGGGGAGGGAAATGGGAGGCTGAGAGGAGGTGGAAACTTGTTTTTTTTTCTCCTTTTCTCAATAAAAATATATATATCCTATGTAATGGGATGGCTTTGTGGGAACCTAGTCAGTTTGGATGTTCACCTTCCTAGATATGGACGGAGGGGGGAGGTCCTAGGTCTTACCACAGGGCAGAAAACCCTGACTGCTCTTTGGACTGGAGAGGGAGGGGGAAAGGAGTGGGGGGAGGGGGAGAGGAGTGGGGGGAGGGGGAGAAGGGTGGGAGGAGGGGGAGGGAAATGGGAGGCTGGGAGGAGGAGGAAATTTGTTTTTTTTTTCTCTTTTCTCAATAAAAAAAAAGTTAAAAAAAAATAAAAAAAAAAACAATGACTTCTCAAATTTTGCATGCAAATGGTTGGAAATAGAAAACACTATCCTGAGTGAGGTAACCCAGACCCAAAAAGATGAATATGGGATGTACTTACTCATAATTGGTTTCTAGCCATAAACAAGGGTCACGGAGTCTACAATTGGTGATCCCAAAGAAGCTAAGTAAGAATGTGAACCAAAGGAAAAACATATAGTTGTCCTCTTTGCTAAGGGAAGTAGACAAAATTGCCGGGGAGAAAATTGGGATCTTGGGGGTGGGGTGGGATGGGGGTAAGGGGAGATGGGGAGAGAAAATGGAGAAGGGGAGAATGGGGGGAACTTGGGGAAAAAGGAGGATTGGGATGAAGGAAGGTTAGATAGGGGAGCACGGAAGCACAATTCTTAGTTAAGGGAGCCACCTTAGAGTTGGCAAGACACATGAACCTGGAGTGGCTCCCAGATGTCCAAGCCGAGGTCCCCAGTTAGTTCCTTGGGCAGTTGAGGATAGGGAACCTGAAATGACCCTATCCTATAGCAATACTGACGAATATCTTGCATTATCATCATAGAACCTTCATCTGGTGATGGATGGAGATAGAGACAGAGACCCACACTGGAGCACTGGACTGAGCTCCCAAGGTCCCAATGAGGAGCAGAAGGAGGGAGAACATGAGCAAAGAAGTCAGGATCACGAGGGGTGCACCCACCCACTGAGACAGTGGAGCTGATCTATTGGGAGCTCACCAAGGCCAGCTGGACTGTGACTGTAAAAGCATGGGATAAAACTGGACTCTCTGAGCATGGCGAACAATGAGGGCTGATGAGAAGCCAAAGACAATGGCACGGGGTTTTGAACCTACTTAATGTGCTGGCTTTGTGGGAGCCTAACCAGTTTGGATGTTCACCTTCCTAGGAATGGACGGAGAGGGGAGGACCTAGGACTTACCACAGGGCAGGGAACCCTGACTGCTCTTTGGACTGGAGAGGGAGGGGGAGAGGAGTGGGGGGAGGGGGAGAAGGTTGGGAGGAGGGGGACAAGGGTGGGAGGGGGAGGGAAATGGGAGGCTGGGAGGAGGTGGAAACTTGTTTTTTTTTTTCTCCTTTTCTCAATAAAAAAAATGGAAAAAAAAAGAGTTTATGGATATCCTCGGTTACATATCAAGTTCAAGGGCAGCCTGGCCTACGTGGAACCCTCTCAAAAAACAAACAAAAAAAAACAAAATAAAACGGGGTTTCAGTGAGATGGGCTCAGCAGGTAAGGGAGCTTACAACCAAAACAAAATCAGAGATTCATTGTGGGTACCTGCTCAGTAGGAGAGAACTTCGTAGTACCAAGCAGTCATCTGATCTCCAAACTGCAGTGGGAGCACACCTACATACATACATACACCAAAAAAGAGAAATATAAACAAATAAATGCAATTTAAAAGAAAAAAACACAACTGGTTCTATTTAAGGACTATTTAAGGCTATTTCTTCATCTTTGGAAAAGTTCTTTAACACATCACTGCCCTGTAAAGGAGCGACAGCATTAAAACATGCAAATGCTATGACAATTGCTTTTGCAGACATTAAAGCAAATCACACAGATCTAACTAAATTTCATAAATAAACCAGCACCTTCATAGACTTTTTCTTTTTTAAACATAAGGTGGCTTGAATTTATATTGTAACTCTCAAAGCAAGACACCTCACAAACCCGTCGGAGAACTGTGTAGTTTAAAAGTAAAAATGTTTGAGTTGCTGAGGAATCCCATCTGGACGGGAACGGTTCCTGCTTCTACACTGAAGAGATATACCCAGTGTTTCGGTTTCTCAGGAAATTCGGGATCAACCTACCCCTGGACCCAGCAATACCACTCTTGGGAATATACCCAAGAGATGCCCTATCATATAACAAAAGCATTTGTTCAACTATGTTCATAGCAGTATTATTTGTAATAGCCAGAACCTGGAAACAACCTAGATGCCCTTCAATGGAAGAATGGATGAAGAAAGTGTGGAATATATACACATTAGAGTACTACGCTGCGGTAAATAAACAATGACTTCTCGAATTTTGCATGCAAATGGATGGAAATAGAAAACACTATCCTGAGTGAGATATCCCAGACCCAAAAAGATGAACATGGGATGTACTCACTCATAATTGGTTTCTAGCCATAAATAAGGGTCACAGAGTCTACAATTGGTGAACCTAAAGAAGCCAAGTAAGAAGGTGAACCCAAGGAAAAACATATAGTTATCCTCTTGGCTAAGGGAAGTAGACCAAATTGCCGGGGAGAAAATTGGGATCTTGGGGGTAGGGTGTGATGGGGGTAAGGGGAGATGGGGAGAGAAAAGTTAGAAGGGAAGGAGGGGGGGCCTTGGGGAAACAGGAGGATTGGGATAAAGGAAGGTTGGACAGGGGAGCACGGAACCACAATTCTTAGTTAAGGGAGCTACTTTAGGGCTGGCAAGAGACCTGACCCTAGAGGGGCTCCCAGATGCCCAAGCCGAGGTCCCCAGTTAGTTCCTTGGGCAGCTGAGGATAGGGAACCTGAAATGACCCTATCCTATAGCAATACTGACGAATATCTTGCATATCATCATAGAACCTTCATCTGATGATGGATGGAGATAGAGACAGAGACCCACACTGGAGCACTGGACTGAGCACCCAAGGTCCCAATGAGGAGCAGGAGGGAGAACATGAGCAAAGAAGTCGGGACCACGAGGGGTGCACCCACCCACTGAGACAGTGGAGCTGATCTATTAGGAGCTCACCAAGGCCAGCTGGACTGTGACTGAAAAAGCATGGGACAAAACTGGACTCTCTGAACATGGCGAACAATGAGGGCTGATGAGACGCAAAGGACAATGGCAGGGGGTTTTGATCCTGCTTAATGTGCTGGCTTTGCGGGAGCATAGCCAGTGTGGATGTTCACCTTCCTAGATATGGACGGAGGGGGAGGACCTAGGACTTACCACAGGGCACAAAACTCTGACTGCTCTTTGGACTGGAGAGGGAGGGGAAAAGGAGTGGGGGGAGGGGTAGAAAGGTGGGGGGAGGGGGATAAAGGTGGGGGGAGGGGGATAAAGGTGGGAGGAGGGGGAGGGAAATGGGAGGCTGGAAGGAGGTGGAAACTTGTTTTTTTTCTCCTTTTCTCAATAAAAAAAAAGAAGAAAAATTAAAATAAAAAAACAAATAAAAATGTTTTTAGGTATCGAATACGGGTGCCAGTAACAGGCACTAAAACTCATAATCCTACCCCAACCAACAAAAGCAAAAAACTCCAGCTCACAGATTTAAAATAAAAATGAGCAAATCCTCCAAACAAAAGAGAGGTCCTTGGATAAAATCTCCCGCATTTGGAAGAAACTGGTTCCCTTGTCACTGAGACTTCTTCCTGAGAACAATTCAAACTTGAGGTGCATTGAGGGGACTCCCATGTTGGCGGTAGGTTTTTCTCCTCCGAATTGAGATGCTCGCCCCATCCACCGCTAAAAAAAAAAAAAACCCACACAGATCACTGACAGGAAAATCACGCCTAAGACCACGTCTTTCCCCTCGGGGCTTTTATCCTCCAGAGTCTAGACAATAACTAAATAGAGCAAGATTTCTGTGGCCGAGGAGGGCAGTCCCTTTGGGAAGAATAAGGTGATCGGCACGGAAAAACTCCTGGCCACCCAGGGAAAGGGGTTGGGCAGAAGCGAAGGGCCTCTGGAAAGTTCAGATGGGCCCACCAGTCTTTCCCAAGGCGGCCGGGACCAGTGGCTGGGAGGATCTCGTCGTTCTCCAATGTACAAAAGAGACATCCGATGTACAACCCCCCCAAAAAAAAAACAAACAAACAAACAAACAAAAATCCAGACGGAGGGGCTCTCGAGAAAGCAAAGCGGGAAAGGCATGGAGTCCCTGTCCCGTCTTACCCACCCCCCAGCCCCCGCCCCCCCCCCCAGCCTCCGTAGAGCGCGACCCACGCGGCCCGGCCCGCGAGGGCCCCCCGCACAGTTGAGGCCTCGCCTCGGAGGCGGCCGCTCAGGGTCACCTCGGCCAGTGCCAGCCCCGCGTCACCCAGGCGACCTTTACGAAAGCACCCCTCTCCCCGGGACCGAAACAAGATGGTGGGCCACGCGCCATCGCGCCACGGGGTCCCTACTCTCCACAGCCACGGGAACCCCAGCCCCGGAGTGCGCCGCTGCCGCTGTCCTCGCCTTTGAGGCAGGGAGGTGCGGGGAGGCTTACCCACGACGCTGCAGGACCTCCGGAGCTCAGAGAAGGAGGAGGAGCGGGAGCAGCAGGAGGAAGAGGCGGAGGAGGCGGAGCAGGAGGAGGAAGAGACGGAGGAGGGGGGCCGAGGGGGACAGGAGGCGGGGAGGAAGAGCGGAAAGGGAGGAGCGCGAAAACACGGGGTGACCTCCACTCACAGGGCTGCGGCGGCGGTGTTACCGCCCCAAGGAGTTCCAGCGCCAAATGAGCTGCGCTGACGAGAGGAGCGAATTAGAACAGCACGCACTGCCTGATGGGTAACGTGTCCATCCGGGCACCTTGCAGACGGCCGCCGGGCCAATGGTGGGTGCTAGCGTGTGAGCCGCCAGGAGCAGCCTCGAAGGCTCCGTTGCTAGACTGGATGCCCGCCTTGGGAAAGCAGAAAGGGGCCGCGGGAACACTGACCCCTCCCCCCAAACTACGGCTCTATATTGTAGCTAAGCACACACAAACAGGAATTCCGAGATCTCCCTGCGAATAAACATTAAAGGCACCCGTTTTTAAAAACACTGGACTTGACATAGCTTTCGCGTTTTAAGAGAAAAGAGAAATTGAATCGACTTTTTAAGTCATTGACTGATGGCACCCACCACTTTGTTTTAAACACAATTTTGTTTTCCTTTGTCACTCCTGCCTTATAAAGTCCTATAGTTATAAAAAGTTCTTTTTAATTTTTCTTTCTTTCTTTCTTTCTTTCTTTCTTTCTTTATGTATGTATGTATTTATTTATTTATTTATTTATTTATTTATTTATTTATTTATTTATTTATTTATTTATTTATTTATTTATTGGAGCTAGGGTTTCTCTCTTTAGCCCTGGCTGTCGTGGAACCCCCTCTGTAGGCCAGGCTGGCTTTGAATTCAGTGATTCACCTTCTTCTGCCTCCCGAGTGCCACTGAAAGACCCCCACAGTATAGACAAACAGCTAAGCAGCAGCAATGCCAGGCTTAAACTTTGGAGCAACACAAGTAACATTAGAGCAGGGAAGTTCGACTTGAGAACAAGGGCGGAGAAGCCAGGCAAGATATCTGCTGTCAGCCGGTCAGCCATCTGGCCCCAAGCGATAAGGAACCCGCAGCTGGCCTGCTCTAATGAGAACATCCCGTTTGCTTAGGGAAACAGGAGGCCTATAGTCAGCACATGTGCCCAACTTAGAATATCAGTAATTCACAGAAGAGACAACTCCCCCTATGAAAGATCCCAGCTTAGCTGCTGTAACGTCATTTCACAAAGCTTTTGACGAACGACTGTAAGTGCAGAGTAAGGTCAGGGTCCCTGGCTGCAAAACAGGATATTTATATCCATAGATTCGGACAGGACATCAATTAACAGGATATCTGTTCCCATACATCTGTGCTGGGAGAGGAAAAACCACCTGTGCCCCTTGCCCCATTCCAACTGACCACTAACGATGCATTTGCTTCTGTAATCTGCTTCTGCTGCCCTCTTTCCTATAAAAAGACCTTCCCCCAGTCTGCAGGCGCGCTTGTCTCCCAAGAGACTAAGTCGCCCCAGGTACCTGTGTACTGAATAAAGCCTCTTGCTATTTGCATCCGAAGAGTGACTCGCTGTTCCTTGGGAGGGTCTCCTCAGCCTGAAAGACTGCCCACCACTGGGGTCTTTCACCACTACCCCTGGCTTCTTCAAATTTTGCAAGAAAAACACTTGCCAAAATACGGTTTACATAATCATTATCTAAATCATGTCTTTTATTTATTTATTTACTATTTTTATTTTTATTTATTTATTTATTTTTTGGTTTTTTTTCGAGACAGAGTTTCTCTGTAACTTTGGAGCCTGTCCTGGTACTAGCTCTTGTAGACCAGGCTGGCCTCGAACTCACAGAGATCCGCCTGCCTCTGCCTGGAATTAAAGGCATGTGCCACCACTGCCCCGTGTCTTTTAAATTTTAAACACTATTTCATATCATTTCTACCTTTTCCTTTGGTGTGGGCAGAAAAGTTTCAAGGTAAAATCTGCAACCCAAGTGATTCTGCTTTTGGCACCTTCAGCAAGTTAAATAAAGATTCCAGGCCTGAGAGATGGCTCAATATGGTAAGGGCCATCACTGGGACCCACATGGTAGGGGAGAACAGACTTCCTCAAGTGTTCTCTGATCTCCACATGCAGCCCGGGCCATGAACACAACACACACACACACACACACACACACACACACACACACACACGCTATATACTGGGTTTCCTGGGTAGAATGTTTAAGTTTTGGGGGAGCCGGGCGGTGGTGGCACACACCTTTAGTCCCAGCACTCGGGAGGCAGAGGTAGGCAGATTTCTGTGAGTCGAGGCCAGCCTGGTTTACAGAGGTAGTTCCAAGACAGGCTCCAAATCTATAGCGAAACCTTGTCTCAAAACAAACAAAAAACAAAAAACAACAAAAAATAAATAAATTTGGGGGGAGAAAAAAAACAACCTGGCTGCTGCTTGTCTCTAAAAAACTTTAAAAAATAGATCTCAAACACTGAGTTTAGGAAGAGGCAGTTTGCATGTTGCATCAATCAGAAGCATGGTGTCAAGAAATTTAAAAGACAAATTTTAGTGCTACAAATGTTTTTACCAAGTCCATTTGTGTGTAGGTAGGGTTCCTTAATTTATTCTTACAGTTTAGCCTATAGAAACATTGCCAAGCAAACAAATAGCAAATTCGGTGTGACGTGAAAAGAATGGCTTTCAATCTATAATTTTTAGTGGCAACAGAATAGTTTTTAGATTCAAATCTGCTTATGTGGATGAGCATGCAACAAGCTATTTCCAATGAAGCTTAACAGCGAAGTCTTTCAGTTTACCTCTTGACTAACAAGGAAATGTCCAGGAACCCTCAGAGCAATTACGTTACAAGAATATCTTGAGGGAGTAATGACTACCAGGAGATCCGTGTAGATTTTTTCCTTCCCTCAGGCTTCATTTCATATCTGCTGCCACTTTTAATTCAGTATTTGCAAATCTCCCTGGAGACTTGGCCTGTACAATAAACTAGGGGCCACCATTCAACTGCTGGCATTATTCTACAGAGGAAAACCAGGGTGTATTCCTGTATGCTAGTGGAACATACTTGAGTCTCAGTTTGATCAAACCATAAGAAAAATATTTTGATACAGTTTGAAAAATATCTTAACATTGGTTATCATGCTATTATAATTACAAAAACAGTAGTGTAATAATGATATTCTGTTTAGAGGTCTTTGGGAGCCTTTCATATCTTGAACCATAACACATGATTTGTAAGTATTTTCTTCTGTTAGCTGTTTCTATTATCGCTTCCTTGAGAGTACCTTCTGAAGCACCACCATCTTTGACTTTGATGAAACATAATTCACTCATCATTTTTACTGTTATTTTCATATCATAAATAAGAAGCTACTGCCTAATCCAAACTCATGAAGATTAAAACCTCCGACTATCTACTTTTACTTAAATATGTTTCACCTCCAATACATCATCTGAGAGGCATTTCATTATGCTCCTTATGTTTAAGGGCCCTCAAATTCCTGCCCTCTGATCCATATGTCTGAAAAAGTCTTGCCTTCACAAAGGGGATTCAGAGCCTCTCACTCTGCCTATCATAGATTCCAACACTCCCCTTCTATTCATAATTATTTGGGTTTCCCCCTTCATATGGGGGAAAAAGAAAACTTTCTCTTAAAGACCTAGGTGACCTGAATTATATCCTCTTTTGCCCAAGGGGGACTAAGGGCTACAATCTCTTCTAGACACATAGATCTTTTTCTATTGACTATGTATGTCTTCTGTATTCCAAAATGTCTAGGAATGCTTCTAGATTTCTCCCTGCTGGGTATAATCTAAGACAATACTCCTTTGAGCAAAGGAGCCTTAGGCTCCTCTTACCTCACCAAATGCTTCTTAGACTGAGGTTAACCATCAAACCACTTGGAAAATGTGCAATGATTACTGCCAGGCCTTCCACTTAGCCCCAAAATGGTATGGATATTCTAAATACTTAAAAAGACTTGGAAGCTGATCAAGCAGTATTGGACCTTCCTCTGTTCCACAAGGTATTTACTTTTTATTCAATGTGATATTGCATTTCCTATTTCATTGAACACTGCCATAAACTTTATACCTCAGACAAATATGTGTAGACTTTTACCTTTTCACAAAATGTCTCTGAAATACAGGGTGCATCAACATTTCTCCTTAATCCCATGGAGTCTGCCACATTACTTCTTTGATGA